TATATTATTTGTAACCAATAGAAAGCCAAATTATTAATGTATTGTATTATGTATTATATTACATTGTTTTCTATACAGAGAATTGTCTATTTCACTTCCAGTTTAAACTTTATTCTCCTAGAAAACACATGAACAAGCTTAACTGAATTGGTTCTTATAGCATAGTTAGAAAGCCAGAAAAGTTATGATAGTTATAGTACATTGTTTGCTTTTTATGTATTATGATTCTGTGTTTTTAGTTCATTATTTAATTTAAAAAACAACAAATACTTAGTGTAGTAGTACCATTGGTAAAAAAAAATGTAGGGTCATGTTTCGTCAACAATCGACAGCAAAAACAAAAAAAGACCCATGTAAGTACTGTGATTCATGTTTTTCATGTGTGTTCTTTGTTTACTATAATATAAGTAACTAAAATGTAGATATTAGAAAATATAAACATATTAGGTTAAATTAGGTAAGATAAAGAAAAAAAGGATAACAAATAATTTTCTCAAGGTATACTTGCAAGTAGCTTGTGCATTATGTAATTCAATAGGGCAGTGTGAGTTACCTATTTGTCAAGTGATTTACAACTTGTGTGAAAGGATTATTTGTTGGACTGGGTTCAAAGGGCAATATATCAATAACAGTTAAGTAGAAGGAGATGTATACTGTTACAAGCTTTAAGCTACATGTGATAAACAAATGTACTTTCCTGTTACAATTTGAAGTCATTCTAGAAAGAAAAAAGGATGATTTAGATTTATTTTCTATTTTTCTATGGTGGTTACAATGTCATTCAAATTGACTGACCCTAGATAGAGTTAGAGTAGAGAAGATAATAGATAAAATATAAATTTTTACTAGAAAATAACGTTTGAAATTTATTTAGGAGGTTTTGGAGATTACTCAAATTAAATTTAACAATTTTCAGATGAAGAAAAGTATTTTTAATCTGAACATGAAAATCACCTTGTACTTAGAGCAGTCAACACTTTGACTCCATATATTCATAGAGAAATTATTAGTAAAAGTACTACATTAAAAATTTGTATTTTTAGTCTGCAAAAGACTTATATTTTATAATGTTTACCAAAAGTTTGTGAAATTTTTGAAGATACACAAACCATGTTAGAAGTTATAGTATGGAAACTCTTAAAGGTCATCTTGGGTTCACAAACTTGACCAAGCCTGTAGCGAGAGAGAGTTAATCTTATGATGATAGAAATCCAAGTAAAATTATTCTTTAATGTCCTTTAAAACAGTTTAACCCTATCACAATGGGCTTGTATATTTTACATGACCTTGTAACCACTTTGTAACCATGGTAATATACATAGTATAACTCTGAAAGTACTTATTGTTTCTTTATGAAATTTGGCAAGCTTTCAGAAAACTTTAAGTCTTCTGCAAACAAAAAATCAGAATTTTTAATTAACTATTATTACTGAAACTTTCTGTTTAATTATATGGTGTCAGAGTGTTGACTGCTTCAATTACAAAGTGATTTTCATATTAAGATTAAGAATACTTTTTTTTATCTGAAAATTTTCAAATTTTTATTTCATAAACCCTAAAATCTCCTAAGTAAATATCAAATGTTTTGGTTGTTTTTTGGGGTTTTTTCGGAAAAACTTTATATCTTATCTTTATTTTCTCTACCCTAACTCTATACAAGGTTGGTCAAATTTACAGACCTCGTAACCACCCCAAACAAATTTGAAATATATCTAAATTGCCTTTTTTTTCTTTTGAGAATGACTTCAAATTGTAACATCAAGCTTGATTTGTTTATCTTAAATAGCTTAAATATTGTAACAATTTTATTGTTTTATTGCACTTTGAACTGCTTTGAAATTACTTGGCAAATGTGCAGCTCACATCACCCTATCAGATTACATAACACGCAGGCTGGTCGCTAGTATACCTTGTGAAAATTTTTATTATTATTATTAATATTTATTTTACCTAATCTAACACTCTCTAATCTAAAATGTTTTTAATTTTTACATTTTAGTTACTTTTATAATAATTAATAAAGAATACAAATAATAAACAAGAAATAAAGTACTTACCTGAGTCGTCTTCTTTTTGCTGTTGACCATCGATGACACTTAACCCATCTTTTTTTATACTAATGATACAACTTGAATAAATAGTTTAATTAAATAATGCTCCAAAGAACACAGGATAATAATATGAAAAAAGGGGAATACACCCCTTAATTATCACAATTATTTGGCTTTCTAACCATGCAACAAGAGTTGTTAGAAATTCAGCTAAGCTCATCAATATCTTTCTTGTGGGAATCAAGCTTGAACTGGAACTGAACTGACATTTATCTGTGCAGAAAAGAATGTAATATAATACTTTATTTGATAGATTTAAACTTTGGCTTTCTGTTGGTTATAAATAATATAATATTAAGTCTCAGAGATAACTATTGGCAATTTGTGAAAGAGAGGATGTGACAGGTGGGCATGGCAAGAGGGCTCATTTTCTACCTTATGGCTTTGAAACCAAATTAGATTGAAGGCCATAAGAGTTATGTTTTACCTGAGAAATAACAATATTGTAGTGAGTAATTTATGTTGAATTTCAAAGTTCTCGGAGGGATGGTAAATGAATTACAGAAGAGGGAAGACATAAATAACAAATGTCACAGTTCTCATACTAGGGGAGATTGAAGTTTTTTAAAAATTATTTCCTTATAAAATTAAGAGCTTAAAACTTAAATAATGTAAAATTTGATTTATTAACTACATTTTGATGCCAAGTTTATTCATATATAATGATAATAAAGTTGTTTAATTAATTTTTGAATGTAATTCTGTGAGAGGTTTACCTATTGTAAAAGGGTTAACAAGAAGCAACTAAAATATTTTGATCTACAAGGCCATTTGATATTAGAAAACCAAAAAATGAAGAAGTGACATAGGTATCATATAGAGATGTCCTTAAGTGCCTCCGAACAGTAAAGAGTATTGGTAGTATGACAAAATGAAAATTTTTTAATGTATTTTTTCTTCATGTCTTTTAAATTCATCTGGCAATGACTTTCTAAAATGCAATAATTATTGTTGTCCATTCATTATCACTTGGACTAGTATTGTGATATATTCTTCAAAAAGTATTGGAAGTAAGGCATTGCACAATGACACTTTATGAAGTGTTAATATGCTATCGGATTTCAAAACAGTTTACATTCATATGCAGTAATGTTGAGTTGATGTCAGTAACCCCACTATTTGGAGTAAAGAAGTAGAACCAGGAACCTGATGATGACAAAACCTTGTTGAAACGTTGCATGTTACTTCATTAATCTTATAGTAAAGTCTTCTTTGTAACCCATTTGAGCCATTATACTCAACTTAAACATAAACAGTTATGAAGGAGAAATAAGATTCTGTAGCAAGGTTTTTTTTCATTCCAAAGCATGGAGTTTCAAGAAATTATAGATAATTCTGGTTTTGCTCAAACTTTCATATGGTTTTTTTTTATGCCCTGATTTTCCTCTTTCCCCTTTATTATTCTTTTTGTTACTAAAAGTCAGAATTATGATAACTGTGATATACTTTTAAATTTGTGACTGTATAAAACTCATTAGTTGTAAGATTGCTTGTTTGATGTAGTGTGATATATTTTGAAGTTTAAATATGTATGTAGTAAAATATTGTAAGTCTTTTTATAATACAGACATATAGGACTCTGTATTATCAATCTGTTTGCTAGAAACTAACTTGTTATAGAAGAAAACTATATAGTTAATTGGAATAATACTATAATAATAATGAGATATGAACCCACACAAGAAAAAACAATAAAAGAAGCCTTTTAATATACTCAGCCAGGTTAGCATAGAAGTGAACAACACTTAGATGTCTCTCTTGAAAGCATTGAAATAAGCTTAATAGTTAGTCTGAATAGGGGAGATCCCAGGATTAATTCTTGGCTACTATGAACACAGAAATAGTCCTCAGAAATTCCCTAAAGATGGCAGCAGATTAGTAGCTATAATATAGGGTAGTAACTAGTTAGTAATTAGCATCTTGTAACTTAAATCGAAATTAGTAAGTAATTCATAATTATACTTAAATGATTGTATAAGCTACTAACTTGTATAAAGTTTCAGTTTAAAGCTTGGATTTTTTAAAAAGTTTGGCAGTAGCTCAGCTAGCTATTAACTAGTCTGCAGCAGTTTATGTACTATGTAGTGCTATTTCTTTAAAAAAAAAAAAGAAAACCTTTTACTCTACACAGAAGAATTTTTGGAGAGTTCAATTGCCTTACTTTCTTTTAACAGCAAAATGCAAGTTAATAAAACATAGTAAAGAGAAAAAAAAAATTATTTGTTATAAATGTAGTTTTGGAAAATTTGTACTGTTTTAGAAGGGTAACACAAACTTTAGAATATTTATTATAAAGCTCTAAAACAATATTATAAACATGAAAATTGAAATGAAGGAAATTACCAGATCATTGTAAAGATTTAAATAGGTGAGTTCAACAAAGTTTTGGTGCAAAAACTGAAAATTAATTAGGTCAAAATAACATTTAGATCAATTAATTGAATGTAGTTTTAGATTGCTGACATAAAGTTTGGATAATTTTGATGATCATATCAGTAAAAAAAAATAGGTTAATGAATTGAACATAGGTTTTGATAAAGGTTTTTTCTGAACAAAAAACTGAAAACCAAGGTGTCTGGCACAGAAAATGTTTTTAAGTTTGATAAAATGTCATAGTCTTGGAGATGAACCATAATTCAATACAAGATGTGCTAAGAGTTGTACAGTTAACAATTTCTGTGAGCTAAAATATTTTTCTTCACTGAACATTATTATTATAAGTATAAATTTGTATTAATATGTAACTTGTATGTCAAGGTCTTAATATGAATGAGACCAATAGAAAAATAGTGAATCACTCCTAAAAGAAATGCTCGTGTTTTTTTGTTTTTTTATAAATTTAGTTTTGTTATTTTATAACTTTTGTTTTGTATCTTTTGGACATGTCAGGTCACTGTCTCTTCTGGGAGTTATTTTATGCCTGGTGGTAATGTTTTTGAGTAGCTGGTATTATGCCCTTGTTGCTATGGCAATAGCAGGCTGCATCTACAAGTACATAGAGTATCGAGGGTAGGTTTTTTTCCTATAGTGTAGAGTTTTTGTGTGGTAACTGTTTTATCATCTGTTTTCAATGTTAGTTTTTGTTAATATAAACTTGTAATTTAATCGGTGGGATGCTTGTTTTTCATTGTAGTTCATATTATTGAAATGTTTTCCTAATTTCAGTTTTCTTATTTTTAAAGTGTTTGAAATAAAGGTATGATTTTGTCTTTGATCTTGTTTAGAGCTGACTAAATAATAATCAAGCTATTATGTATAGAGATATATTTGTAAGAATTTATATGGCAAACCCTGATATCTTAACATATCTGGAATACTCATGTTTCATAAAAACATTTTCTTTGTGTGACTTATTAGAGCTGAGAAAGAATGGGGAGATGGTATCCGTGGCTTGGCATTATCAGCAGCACGTTATAGCTTGTTGAGGCTTGAAGAAGGCCCACCTCATACAAAGAACTGGCGTCCTCAACTTTTAGTACTCTGTAAACTTAATGAAGACTTAACACCAAAATACAGAAAACTGTTTACATTTGCTTCTCAGTTAAAAGCTGGTAAGTATATTTAAACTGGGAAATATATTTGTTAGAAAAATTAACATTTCTTAATTCAAACTTGGTGAAAACTACTGTATCTAATGCAGTATCTTTAGTTAAAACCTAATGAGACATTCCTTAGCTTTTACATCTAAGGCAATAGCTACTTACTGAAATCTAGATACTGTTGTAAACTATATTTCAATGTTGTAATTAATTTGTTGGCTAGAGGGAGCTTCTGGTTGTAATGATTGCAAGACTGCAAAATATCTAGACACAAGGATACAGATATAAATACGAATAAGCTTTTAGTTAGAGTGCAGTCAGTAGAGTGAATAGTGAATGAATATTCAGTGAGAGTTATTGCATTTGTTCTGTTATTCAGTTACTTGGTGAGTTATGTTTATTTACAATTCAAAGGAATACAACGTTAAAATCTTACACAATAAATAGTTATTAAAAAACAGGGGCTTGCCATAAAAAGACTACATGTGTTTCAATGTCTTATGATACCATCTTCAGGATTAATGGTAAAAGCAAGATTGTGACTTATATAAAATTAACATGCTGATTACAATGAGATCATCTATTTTTGTGTGACACATGGTTTTTGTGAAATGGATCAAGTATCTTATAGTTGTGTATGGAAGCACATTCTTCTAATATAGTAATAAATTGACAAACAATAATTTATATCCACAATTAAGTAATTTCTTTTGGGGGGGGGGATGTACTACATGTTTTGACGGAACATTGGTCTATCTATTATTATCTTTCCTAAAACACTGGATTTTTAGGGCTCTTGAGAAATTAAACTATGTGATACAGAAATATTCAATTATTTTATTTAAACAAAATTGAAAGATTTATTTTATTCATAAAAACATATTTGATTGTAACTGTGACTAGAATTTCCTAGCCAATAATTTAATGTTTATAGCTTGCATCAGTGTCCAGCAATAATGAGCCAGCATATTTGAATTCCACTTGTCCTGGTAATGCTTTTCCATGACAACAATATTTTGGTGAAGCTTTTCACCATTTTCCTCACTAACATCATCAAAGTTGGGTGGGAAGAAATTAAGTGAGAATGGAGAAAGTGAATCTTCAATGACATGTTACATCCCATTATTTTGTAAGTTTGAGTTAGTTAATCAACTAGCAGTTTGTAGTTTGAAGCCCTCTTATTTCCCAGGATATTTTTGTTAACAGCTTTGAAGACATTCCATGCAGCATGTTCAGTTTCATTCAGGGCTTCATCAAAGTCACTATCATTCATCACTTCTCTGATTCTGGACCAACAAAAACTAGAGTTTGTACAGATTTTGGAAAAATATGGAAGCAATTTCCAGGGCTTGGAAAGTTTTAGAAAAACGAGAATTTATCCCAGATTTTGTAAAAGTGGTGGAGAATGAAAATTTTCTCCTGTCAGTATTATAAACCAGTGTTTTCCATTTGTTTATTTGATGATTACAATGTATAGTATCCAATAGCGCCAATCTTCCTAGCAAGCCCTTCATGTTTTCCCATACTGATGAGCATGCACATCATGAATAGCAACTTGAATTACTTCAGCAGGCCATCAACGTCTGAGCCTCACCATTCAAGCAATTATGTAATTGCGATTCATCCATATTTTTTTTTCCATTATTATTTTTTGTTCTGTGGTATTGACTTGAATGTGTACTTGCATAAAAAATACTGGGTAAGCGGATATTTAACAATCCATAGTTTCTAAAGGACGAGTACAAGGAATGTCTCATTATAGGTGCACCTTGCTAAGAAGCTTGTTGTAATGTGTGCCATAAGAAGTTTGATGTTGGCAATATGGGTGAGCCCACGGTGATAAGCCACATGTAGGGAAAAAATCACAAGGCTAATGTTCATACATTGCACTCATTACTAGCAGCCATGCCAACCATAAGCAGTTTGATATCATCTGAATCAAGGCTGATGCCAAATAGAACATTGACAGTTAGGCCTACTGTTGCAACAAATCAACACGACACAGTAGTCCAGCAAGAAAGTGAATAATATTCCTGAGTTAAACTTAATATTAAAGAGAATAAGCCAAATTTCATTGACTTAAATGCACAATACAATTTAATATAGTTGCATTATTTTGCAGTAAGCCTTTGGATGATTCATTTCTTTTCATGTAGGTGTTAGCATCTCATTATGCAATTTATTTATTAAGGGCAGACTGGATTCATATGTTTCAAAAGAAGGTGAGTAGAAAGTTAAAGTTTGGTGGGTCTTGAAGACCACAATTAGCCAGCACAGTTACAAAAGCTGTGAAAACATATATGAACTGTTTTAGTGAGTAATTTATGATATATTTCATACTTATTGGAGTGGTAAATGATGCCTGGGCAAATATGGTTAAAGTCTTGCTCAGTTGTGTCTTGATAATATTAACTAGTTTGAAGGAATTGGATATTTTTGAGGGAATTTTACAATTGTTTCAGTATTTTTTATGTTCAAGAGTTAAGAAACAAGCTACAGAGGTTTAAGTATTCTGAGTGTGATAGACATACATGAAGAAATGGCGTAAGTAAGGACTCCTGTATTACGAAATTAGGTCAAGAACTAGGCGAAGCCCAATTAACCGGTTAGTTAGTATTGAGAATCATGAGTAAAGAATTATAAAAAATGAAGCTACAGCAAGGATGCTGGAAAAAATGCTAGTCATGAGTTTGACAGTGATAAGTTACTTATGCCAAGTTAGTAGCACTGTAAAGGCTATTAAAAAGTTTATGATAGCATCTCAAATTGGTGCTTTGATGTGAGATCTGTTATTCAGACCAGTGTAGTAGTACAAGTAAAAAAGGCAACTGGAGCACTCACCATCAAAGTAACCAATTACTTTAGAGTTTTGGTTCTTGTTTTGGAAAAGCCCAATGAGTTTCAGAAATTAGCCAATAAAGTATCAGGACTACTTGCGGGTAGTTAGGAATACTATTTGGAAAGTCAAAAGAATGCAAAGAAAACATGGTTTAAAAACTTGTGTCTGGAGCTAAAAATCAGAGATCTCCAGGAAGAATTGAGGTTCCCTCTAGAACTGATGTTAGTCCAGAATTTGTTAAAAACCATGAACTGAAGGTAGCCAGTTGCAGCACCTTACCAGGCCAACTCTGTTGTAAGTAATAAATTGTTTTCTCTCCTAGTCAATTAATGTAATATTGAATAAAAACTATAACAGAAGAATGTGAGAAGATAAAATAACAAAAGTATTTTATATGTGAATTACAAATAGCGATGTTGTTTAACTTGGAAGTGGACTATTAAGAAGTATTATATGATTACAAGTTTTATATGTATTTCATGTTAGAAAAACTGGAATAAATTTGATGTATTGTGTTATATATCAGTCTCAGGATCAGCGACTTGTGAGCTCCACTTGCCACTGCAATCCTCAACTAAATAAAATTGGTGTAATCAGTAGTATAATCAAAACTCCAATGACTAGCCCTAAGGGCACTGTCCATTAAAAGTTTACTTTTTCTGGTTTAAAGGTATAACAAACAATAAAATCAGTTTTTATTTTTCATAGCCATTTTCATGAAATTTTATTACTCGATATACCAAATGTAAAAACTTAATTGTGTGTAAACATGTCAAGCCATTGGAATAACACTTATGTTGGAGAATTAATGTTTACTATAATTTTGAATTAATTATGTTCTTCAAAATTTTGGAAGCTTAAAAGTCTGTTGTACACACAAAAAATTGGATTTTTAATAAAGTATTTTTATTAAAAATTTGTCTGTGAGTTTACAAGTTCAGAGTGAAAGGTGATATTTATGTAAGAATAAATACACTTATTTTCATCTTAACGTTTTAATATTTCATTTCCATGTCTAGAACCTCCTAAATAAATATGAAAAGTTTCTTCAGCAAAATACCCTAACATTAACCATGGAGAAATCTGCAATGTAGGGTATGATGAAAAGTTGGAAAATACAAAATAAATAATGGCTTCATATTGTAACAGATGATTACATACTATATATCTTTTACAACCAAAGCTAATGGACTTTTCAAATCTGAGATAATTTAGCTCATTGCTTTACAGCTGTGCATCGACAATTTCAGACTATACCTTTACAACTGGACAGCTTTGTGTAAGCAAGCAATTGAATTATATGCATACAACAGTCAAACTGCTATCACGCTTTGCAATGTGTCTTTGCTATGATAGACTATTACAAGAAATTTTTTTCATTTACGTTTTGTTATTTAACCTAATAAGTTTCTAAGTCTTATATTAGTTACTTTTATGACAATATATATATAGAATGTACATAAAAAAACAAGATACATAGTAATTACAACTAGACTCTTTACTGGTAAATGAAGCACCATGTGCCTGCTTTTTTGCAAAAATGTTGGTGGTTCATATTATTAATTTTTATTTCAAGCATGCAACTCAGAACACAAAATATCATCACTTACAAAAAATAGAATGTCCTAAAACTACTGTAATTTAACTAGCTTTTTAACCAAGTAATAATTAATTTAAACTTCCGTTAGTTGGACAAGTGGAACATCATAAAGGCAAATAAGGAAACTGAGATTAAATATTTTTAATCCTAGCACATGAATGAACTAGCCTCATAATAAATTTAGTAGAGCAGAATCTTCTCTTTCTATTGGTTATAAATAATGCAATAGGAAATGTCAGAATACATTTTTATAAAAGACAAGATGAGATAAAAGAGATGTGGCATGTGGGTCCAACTTTTTGTTTATATCTCAAGAAAATAAGAACTTGGAGGTTATAAATTTACATTATGGCTTAGCAGTATCTAGCATAAGCTATATTTGGTGGCAAATTAAAGATCATATAGGAGTTGAAAGAAAATTTAATATGGGCAGTTTGGATCATATGATGCAGAAAGGTGAAGCTTCAGAATTTATTTAAATATTTCCTTTTAAGATTAAGAAATTAAAACTTGAATATTAATAATGTCAGATTTATTTGCATACATTGATAATAAGGTTGTTCAATTAAGTTT